ATTTGAGTAGATTAATACAATCATGTTATATATATATTATAAAATTTAAATACAATAAAAATATTTGTTAGTAATTTGATTAAGATAATTTAAATTAAGTTAATTGATTAAAATACAATAGTTTCCAATACAATATTTAATACAATAATTTAATTCATGTTAGTTTATATATATAATATATTCATTGACTACAATAAAATGTTGGTTAATAGTAATATTTAATTAATAATAACAATTATAGCAATATTTAAAATTTCCAATGGTATATTGACCAGTATAAATATTATTTTTCGTTATATTATCTATCGTAAAACAGTATATCTGTCGCACGGGGTATAATTTCGATATACCTAGCCAAATCCATACATATTGGATTTGTTAGATCTCTTTCCAATACCATATCTACGGAAGCGTTGAAGGGCCAACCATATGTTTTTTTTATCTCATTATTATGGATTATCACAAGTCATTATTATAGATTATAACTCGTAATAATGGATTCGACAACTTGTAATAACGGATTGAACAACTCGTAATTACGGATTGAACAATTCGTATTAACGGATTGAACAATTCGTAATAACGGATTGGACAACTCGTAATTACTAATTACTAATTACGAGTTGAAAAGTCATCTATTATCTATATGTTTTTTTATATCATAATTATTGATTAACTCAACTCACAAGTCGATATTATGAATTAGAACAAGCCAGTGCAGCCTAGCTGTGGCAGTTAAATACTTTAATCGTGTGAGAGAGTGACTTATTTAGTAACTAGCTCTAAGTGTAACTCGGGGCCCGTTGGACTCGCTGGGAGTGGGTACCGATTTTGGAGACAATGAATTATAAAAGTCGCAAAGGTTGTAAGACGAAAGTTTAGGATTTGTGATAAGGATTAGTGATATGGATTGGAGATAAGGCTAGACGCTTGGGCGGGAATGTTAAAAGTTTGAGGGTCTAGCAATCCGTCACAAACGTTGTAAATGGATAGGCTGGATACGATCTCCAGGATCATATGGCTATATAGAGTATACCTGCACATACCATGACTGGTGCTTTATCTTATGTAAAAAGTGTAAAGTCGAAAACCTTGTTGGAGTTTCTAGCAAGTCAGCCATCTCAAGTCAAAATCTATTAACTTTCAAGTTAACCACTTACGTAGGCAATCCGACTTCGTCGGATCGCGGACAATGTGCTATAGCAAATCAGGTAGGCAATCCACCTGCGGTGGATTGCAGACCCTACATCAAGCGGCTATAAGTGAAAACCCTATCACACAACTTACGAAATAATTTACAAAAAATTCAAACTATATACAATATACATACAAACAAATATGATATGTATTTATTGTGTGATATAATATAACAATGAACATTTTGAGAAATGTGCAATTATAATTCCTAAAAAAATTAACATATAGGTAGATAGTTAGATATATGCTATTATATTAACAAATACAATACATATAAACGTTTAACTATAGTGTATACTGTATATAATATATTAATTTAAAAAAAAAAATGCAAATACCTGCATGTTAAAGTGTCTATCAAGTTAATCATCACCGTTTAAGACGAAACTAAAATGAGCAATCCGTCTATCAACTATATATAGCAGGTATATCACATAGAGTGGTATGTGCCTTCGCATGTCCGGTGCCTTTTCTTATGTAAAAAGTGTAAAGTCGAAAACCGTGTTGGAGTGTCTAGCAAGTCAGTCATCATCTCAAGTCAAAATCAAGATTAACTTTCAAGTTAGCCACCTAGATAGGCAATCCGAAATAAATTACAAACTATATTTATATAACAATCATGGAAAACTTTTACCAAAAAATTACAGATAACTTATGAATATTGGTATGCAAATAGGTACATTGTTTTTTCAAAAATGAATTCATTCTGGTAAGACATAATATATGAAATTTATGTTTTGCTTACCTACTATAGTTGACAGTAAAAACTTGATAAATACTTTTTTTTAAAGTAATAATAATAAGGGCAATGGGGGGGCTTCAGTCCATTAGCAACCCCCCCCCCCCTGCGGACGCCACTGTCTATCACAATAAAAAAATAACTCCCCAAAAACTCTTAATAGGTACGAATAACTTGCCATATAATGCGAAAAGAAATTAACGTGCATTTTATTTAGCTTATTTATTGGTTTTAGATATTTTAATTTGAAATTCTTGTAAGTACTGTGATTTCATAATTCCAATAAAGTAACAGTATAAAAACCTGCAGGCATTTGATCAAATTATAATAATGACAAAAAATGATAATCTAACTAATCGAATTAATTTTATTTTTGATAGTATTGTATAATGTAGTATGAAAATAAGTAATACTGCAAGGGCCTGAATTTTCTGGTGACAAAACCCGCAATTTTCACGGTTGATTTTGATTTCAACTATATTGTTATGAGTTAGCAATATATTTTATTATTTTTAGGTACCTACCTACCTGTAGTGATTATGAAAATATAATTATGAAATCTAATTAATATTTTATTTTGTCTGAACTCCGAATATTTTATTATTAAGAAAATAGGATAAAAAAAATAATCAAAATATTTAAATTCTTGAACTGAGATACTATAGTCTATAAACTATCAATTAGTTCATGATTCTAATTTATAATCAAAACATTTACAACTAAAAACTATATAGGTTGTGCTAACTCTACAGGTGATGCCATGGCATATCCAGCATCCCCCCTGCGCACGGCTATGCTATCAAGATAAATAATTTGTAAAATTAAATTGTCATTTGAAAAATTTAAGTTTGTATAGCCACAAGACACTCTTTAATAGTAGTACAAAAAATATCAGGAATTTGAATATATATTGTCTTTAGGTATACATAATAATTCTAAAAATCAGAATTTGAATAAATGTATTTTTAAAGGAAAACATTTGGTGAGCATTTTTTCACCAAAATGTCAAGTAAATTTTGTATTCCATTATGGGGCCCCTTAAAAAACTGATTCTATGGGCCTTTGGTGTCCCAGGCCAACACTGTACTTAACCATCTAGGTAATATATATATATAAACATATATATTGTAATTTTAGGGTATAAGACATTTTTAACATAATAATATACAATATTTATTTTATTTTTAATATAATATTATTATATATATAATTTATAAAAAAATATCATAATTCTTTTAAATTATTTGTACATAGTCAATCCCCGGTATAATGCTAACGGGGATTTTTTTTCCCCAATTCTCGCGACACTGATCGTACCTACAATATTCGCACAAAATACAAATGGCTTAAATCATTGTATGTGTACGATAACTATCGTACCATTGTCCAATCCGTTATTACGAGTTATCCAATCCATTATTACCAGTTGTCCAATCCGTTATTACGAGTTATCCAATCCGTTATTACCAGTTGTCCAATCCGTTATTACGAGTTATCCAATCCGTTATTACGAGTTGTACAATCCGTTATTACGAGTTGTCAATCCGTTATTACGAGTTGTCGAATCCGTTATTAGGAGTTATAATCTATAATAATGACTTGTGATAATCCATAATAATGAGATAAAAAAAACATATGGTTGGCCCTTCAACGCTTCCGTACATATCAGTTATAAACCTCTTTACACATTTTATTATTTCCAAAACCTCTCTGCTTTCGTATGGTACAAGTATTGAATTATCGGCAGAAATTATATGATAATCAAAACATTCTGTACAATTATACCATTCTCATTGTTCTGAATTCGTGTGTGTCTGGATTGCTAAACTTATGTTAAGTTCTTGCAATAGTTGTTCATTCCTATCCATTTTTGGCATAAATCTAGTGTATTGGCCAAGCGATTTTTTCAATTTTTTTTATCGAAACTTATGTATCTCATCGAGTTAAGAACGATGGTGCAATCAGAATTTGTCGCTCTCATTTAGTTCCGAAGTGATGGCCTTCCAAAATTTTCGATTTTACGTTTATACGCATACTATAATGACACGCGGAGGACTATTTTTGTTATTTTTTGGTACATACGTATTCGGTATACCTTTTTTTTTTTGAAACTTATGTAGTTATGTATTATGTACCCTGTGACATACTTGAGGTGGTGTTGCATAGCAAGTCGGGGGATATTTTCGATTTGCGGAGCGGAGCGACGGCGCCGAGGAGCGTAGCGACGAGTGCCGATACACGCGTAATGACTGCCCATATACTACGACATAACTTTTCCTGTAACCTACTTAAGGTGGTGTTAATGACTTACGCGTAATGACTTTGAATTGCCATAACTTTTGAACGGTAAGTTTCTGGAAATTTGTTCGAGCGCAGCGCAGCGAGCGAGTGGCCACGCTTGCAGATAATATACATCAATTATATTTGAAAAATACGTAAGATAAGATAAAAATTATTAAGTGTTTATAACATATACGTAGAAAAACCAATGTATTAATCGGGATACGTAGATAAAAGGTAGGTTAGTCTATACGCACCTGCTGAAAGGTTAAATGTAGGTAGTTGAAAAATAATCGAAAAATAAATTTGTCATAACTGTTAGTAAAGTCACGTTATACTGTAGTTTTAAATCTTACAAAATGTCTGATCTTAATTTTATTGATATCTTTGAGTTGTTTGAATATAAAACCAATGGACCAGTTTCACTAACTGTGATTCAAAAATTACAGTCATGGAACTTGATGGCAACTGACAATTCATTGAAGTGCGACCAGGGACATAATTTAATATTATATGCTAATTTGGAAGCAACGGATGGGTTTCAGTGGCGATGTCGAAAATCGTATGTTGATAAAAATAAAAAAAAGTGAATTGTAATACACGACTGTCGGTACGGAAAAATACGTTTTTCCATAATTCACATTTATCTCTATACCAAATTGTATCTTTCTCATATTTATGGTTGGAAAATGTTTCACTTCGGTTTATTGTGAAGCAGATTAAAATCGCTCAGCAAACGGCTGTTGACTGGTCCTCTTTTCATAGGGAGGTGACTATTTCTTCTATGATTACACATCATGGGAAAATTGGTAAGTACTAAGTAAATACTATAAATACTATAAATGTCATAAATTCACAATTTTATAAATTCGCAATTTTTTTTGCTAATGGTTGGTGTAGGAGAGGTCAATAAAATAGTGGAAATCGACGAATCCAAATTTGGAAGGAGGAAATACCACCGTGGCCATAGAGTGGAGGGCCAATGGGTTTTTGGAGGAGTCGAAAGAGATAGTGGCCGTTGTATTTTGATTCCTGTTGAAAAACGAGACAAGGAGACATTATTAACGATTATAAAGGAGTGGATTGAACCTGGGACCACTATCATCTCTGATTGTTGGAAAGTAAATAAAACCTTAGATTTCTTTTACCACGTATTTGGAATTTTTTCTATTTTATTTTGGTTGCTCATTCAACATACATTTTTAAATAATAGGCTTACGACTGTTTGAAGGAAGAAGGTTTTCAGCATTTAACTGTGAACCATTCCATTCAATTTAAGAACCCCGACAATGGCGCACACACAAATAACGTGGAGGGGATGTGGAGACACGCAAAGGCATTTCTTTCGCAGTATTGTAGAAAAAAAAGATTTTTTACTGGGTACTTAGCGAAGTTTATGTTCATTAAGTATTGTAAATCGATTAATGTAGACCCTTTACCTCAATTTTTTAAAATAGCGGGGGAATTATATGATCCCGTTAATGCTATGTTGTTGGAAAATAATTCCGATGACTTTAAATCTGACGATGATACAGAAGGCAACTCTGAATAATAATAAACTTATGTAAATAAAAAGATACTTTAAGAATCGTTTTTTTTTTTTATATATTTTTATATTTATAAAAATATATTATATTATAATATAATATATTTTTAAAATCAATTGTTTTCCGGGTTTTTGGTATACCATAAAAAATAAGTAAAATAGGGAAAATATGATTGCATCAAAAACTTAGGCTTACAAAAACACACACTTATAAAAAAAAATTTTTAAAAAAGTCGTTTTTGGTTATTTTTAACGACGATACCATAATATTTTTAAAAAACGATTTTCTCCCCGGTTTTTTTGGTATAACTTCAAAAGTAAGTACAATATGGAAAATGTGATTGCACCAAAAACTTGGGCATACAAAAACACACATTTAAAAAAAAAAATTTTAAAAAAGTCGTTTTGGGTTATTATTACCGACGATACCGTGATATTTTTAACAATCGATTTTTTACCGGTTTTTTTGGTATAACTTCCGTAATAAAAAAGAGCGTAAATTTTTTCAAACAGATTCAAATTCAGGGCCTTAAAATACACATTTTGAAAAAAAAAGTTGAAAAAATCACTTGGACCCTAAACTAGATTTGTTCCCCATTTTTTTTAGATTACTGTTCCCTATAATTATAAAATTTTATTATTTGCAATTTTTAAGTTTTTAAGTTTTTTTTTTTTTTTATTTAAAATGTTTAATTAAGTTTTCATATGGGTAATTCCTCACGACGAAATCAAATATACATTTTGTATATATGACATCCGTTCGTGGGTGGTGTAAATGTGTGACTTTATGTTTTTTTCTGCAAATTAAGTTATGTGCCTCAGTAAGATTTAATTTTCTTCCTGATTTATCATAAGTAGGTACCTATTTCTGTTTCAAAAATTATTGTTTTAGGGTTACCGTTTCTAATCACATATAAAATTGTTTATTAAAATATTTGTCATAACAAGTTAAATTTAGTATCGGAAACTCCGTTATTCCTAATCTTTTTAGAATGATCTTGTCAGAACTACCTTCCCATACTACTAACACATTAATCTTATTACCACGCAGTATATAGTTTCGTATATAGGTCGCATTTAAACTGGAGCTCTTAGACTCTGGTTCAGTTGTTCCAAAGATATGTCTCGCAGTTCCGTTTTTGCTTTAAAAATTCAAGCCAACGCTCTCTGTGCAACTTATACCTCACGGTCCTTCATTAGTCTTACTTCCCCGTCTTCTGATAAGTATAACGGTCCAAACTATTTGAAATAGCTCCTGATATGACCCACTGTGCAAAAATCAGTTCAGGAGAAGTCATATAGAACGCATTTTGTGATGTGCGATGTTAATAATCTAGACACTGAGAAGTTTATGGGATTTCTCTAGGTATGCTAACGCCCGATTGATGAACTTTTATTTTTTACTTCTCTTAGACTTCAAGTTTAGAAGTCTCTGAGAGGTTTGTTTGTGACATCTTTGAGATATTACATTGTAGCAGTTCATTAACATCAGTTTTTAACTTCTAAGGGACATACATTATTTAACTCCTAAATAACCTTACAAATGTGCTGTTACCGAGACATTACAATGTAATTTTATGATTCAATATATTATGTATATTTAAAATAATACCTATATATAACACATTTTTATTTATTTGTATGGCATGTAGGTATAGTGATGATTAACTGCAGTTATACTAATATCCAATAAGAGATAATAAATAAACACTGTTAGTATAAAATAATAATAACTTTATTATTTTATTAATAAAATAAAAAAAAAAACATTTTTAATATAATGAAAAAATATTTAAGCAGCTACCTATACAAAATTAGGTAATTTAATAATCATAAGATGTAATATATGTAAATACTATTGTAAAAATAAATAAGAACTGTAAAGTACAAAATAATTAAAAATAATAATATAACAATTCATAATCAAGTTTAAAAAAAAAACATTTTTAATATAATAAAAAATTATTTAAGCAGCTACCTATACAAAATTAGGTAATGTAATAACCATAAGTAAAATATGTAAATATTATAGGTAGTAATAATAAATAAGAATTGTAAAATACATAATAATGAAAATAAAAAATAGTATACCTGCTTTATTTTAATCTGTAACAAAATATAAAGAATTATGTATTTTATAATAAAGATTGATAGATACTTATTTAAAAACAAATTAGGATGTGATATTATGGCTTAAAGTAAAAACAATAGCATTATCAGACATTTCAATATGAAAACATTTATATTTTATTTTATCTAAGGAAATTTCAATAGGATTTGACAGAGAACTCAAATCAATGATAACAGAACCTAAGATATCCGAAGTAATTGGAATAGATTTAAAATAAGCTGAACTTTTATAAGTGCAAACGCTTAAAAATACTTTGTCATCTTTATGTTTATAAATTATTTGTTTTATAGAAGCAATTTGATTATTTAATAACATAACATAGTTATTTTTAGGTACATTCGTGCATAATTTATAGTTAGTACCTATTTAAGATGGTAATTGATTCATAACATGTGATGCCAGTATTACCTATTGAAAAATCAAGGTTATTTTCAATTTCTTTGCCTAATATGTAACTGATCTGTGAAGAAGTTTTATTATTTATATCATACTTGATATTCATATTTTCAATTATCCTATTTGTAGCTTCTTGTAATGGATAACGAGAATGTTTTATACTTTTTTTTTAACTGGCCGAGATAATTTTCAAATTTGAACGAGCTGAAATTGTCAAGACAACCATGGATTTGTACATAATATGATAAAATAATTAAGCTATGCACATTATATGTCATAAACTGCTGCCCATAGTAATCTGCATATTCATTAACAAACTCTATAATCAATTGCTGAGCTACATTATTATGTTCTATACAAATGTTGGGAGTAACTAAAATTTTTATGACGGAATGGAGTTTCATAAAATGTAGGTATACATTTTTTTTATCCTTCCTTTTAATATAATTGGTCCAGTATATAATAAAAACATTTTGAATTCAGTAGCCTTATAGAAAAGTATATCATTTAAAGATCTAGGCAGTCTAGAAAATTCAGAATTAAAATATTCTCTTAATTTAATTAATTCTGTGTTGCAAAGCTCTAAGTTTGTTTTAAGCATTCTAACTTGTTGTGATCCTAGCACCCAAAACTTTAAAAGCCTTTTCATAACACCTGAACAGACCACATGCATATAATCTAAGCATACTGTCTGAATAATATTGATTGGCAAACGTTCAAGAGGACTAACGCCTTTATGATATTCATCATCAGATTTTATTCTCAAACTGGTATCAGTTCTTAAAGGAGCATGAACACCTGTAAAAGCCATTCTATTTTCTAAATAGCTACCTTCTTCACAACATGTATTGCATCCAAAACGAGAGTTGTGGCCTTTCACATTCAATAAAAAGGCCTTCGCGGGCGCGTCACATATGATTTTATTTATTTTTATTTTATAAACTTTATTATTAGATACAGTTATCCTGAATTTAATATATTTAATAATTCGGTGATGAAAGGGTTCATAAATTCTTCAATAGAAGATGGTTTACAATGTGTGTCATAGTATATACCAACAGGGAAGACAGCATCTGATATTTTTGGTAAATTTAAAATTGAACAGAGTATTGGCCAAAATTGTTGTTTAGAGCTTTTTGCTAACGGTAAGCTGTCAATATTAAAATCCATATTAATTTCAACTAAATTGCTTATATTATTTTGAAAATAAGATAGTAATTGTGTTAACATTTTTTCCAGACCAAAATTAATGTATTTTCCAGTATCTAAGGGCCGTATTCATAGTCGATGCTTCAAACCATTCTTATCTTTAACTTTTAAAAGCAATACTTATGAATAGGTATTCATAAAAATATAAAAGTATAACTTATAAAAGCATTAAGCATAAGAAATGATTAAGTATTCCTTATTGAACATAAGTTTGGTAACATGGTTAGTATAAGTTATCAGTATCTTATCACAAATTATTTTATTATGTTATCAACATTTTTCAAACTTATTCATAGACCATAGTACGTGTGTGAAGTTGGGGGACTATAGCTAGGGGACTATTTACTCGGACGACAAGTGATAAGAATCCTTGTACGTTGTGTTGCATTTCATAAAAGTTCAGGGGTGTCGTACCATTGCACCGAATCCGTCAAGTAGATGTCGCCCTATGTTACACAGTAATTGTTGTAAATTGTATTGTTTTAAAATTATATATAAATAATTTCTGTTGGCGTCATTACTCATTACCACAATAATTATACCGAACATACTGACATAATATTGCCATCATAACGTCATAATGACAAATCAATAATAATGGAAAGTTAGGTTAAAAGACTGTACAATCTAACCCACGTTATTCAGTTTACCTTTACATCAATTAATAAGAGTTTAAACATGTAATTTGTCTTGAAGTATTTAAAACATCACTTTTTACGGAAACAGGTATGTATAAACTACTGTCTACTTTACTGAATAGTTATAGAGATGTTCGTCTTTTATTCATTATTTAAGTATTATTAACCTATGTCATATTCTGTTTCCCTATCCACACAGTGATGAGTAATCACCTGAGGCACTAATATTATTGTATTATGATTTTTCCATGGTATGTTTACATCACAGTATATAGAACCATATTTATTGTAAAATATTACCTAATGTATTGTCTAAGTTATAATGAATATTAATACATTTATTTGTAATATAAATATAAAAATGTAATGCTTAAGAACTATTTAACTATGTCCAGTGACGCGTTTAGACATTTTGCACCCCGGTACAAAAAAAAATTTGGCGCCCTTAAGAGGCCTAACCACTGGAAATATGGGAGATCTTAAATCGTTTTTCCTCAAAAAACAACACATATCCTGAATAGTTTTATGTTAGCCCCATGTCATTTGTTGTAGTGTTGTAAAGTGTTTAAATGTCTTTTTTTTATAAGCCATTATCCTTATAATTATACAATTATGTATGTATCAGTAAGTATATTACCAAGATGGTTTTTGCATACTACCTAAACATCATTGTCCATTGTATATTAATATTTCATTGGATAATTACTAATAACGGTTACTTTTTAAATGATTATTGGATACTGTAAAATATGATTAGTTATAGCTTATAGAATTGTATATTTTTTAATTGAGTTTCAGCATGAATAGCGGATTTCATATGTTACAAAATTAATATGATGACAAGAATAAATCATTTATCCATTCCAGCTGTCTACATTTACTGTTAAAGCATTATGATCTATGACAAGAAATCATCGTTGAATCTGTTATTAAACACAATACTGTTGTATCATTTTCACATTTTAGATTTAATACATAAGATTATAATTATGAACCAAATTTGTATTATTACCTAAGTTGAATAAAATGTTATGATTAAAGCATATTATGATGTATAATGATAATTACTAGGGCTCGGATTTATATGTATTTATATAACCAGAGTAGGTATTCATACAACAAAAATATGTGCTAAAGAATTCAAAACATGTATTATCAAAAAAAAATATTAATAATTAATAATATAATAAAATGTAATATAAAAAATTATATTTATATAATTATATTTATTACAATTAATAACATTCATTTTTAAACTTTCAAATCCAAAAGATTGACAAATTTGTCATAAAATGTTAATACTAATTAATAATAAAATAAATTTTAATAGAAATATGTATATTTATCTAGTTATCTAATTATCTTTATTACAATTTATTAATAATAACATGCACTTTTAAATTTTTGAATTCAAAAGATTGTCTATAATATAATATATAGTGATGATAACCTTTCAATCATTCTTAACTCTGAAGAAAAGACATTAAAACAGTATAATTGTCTAAATATGGGAGAAAAAATTGAATAATAATATAATAATAATAATAATGTGTAAAAATATGTAAATTCAAATATAGCTCGTTTTATCAAAAATCTTGTTATACAAATTTATCACTTGCCGTAATTAATAAATTATATAAATCCGAGCCCTAGTAATTACTAATTAAACTACAATAACTTTTAAATCCAAATTTACTATGTAGTATGCTGATTAGACTTTATTTATATGTTTGAAAAGTGTTACTTGTCAGTACGGACATGGTTATTTTTTTAGAATAAATAAATTATGAAATTAACTTAGATTATGTTTGTTTGAAAATATGAATTAATTATCATAGTGGCATAATTGATCTACACTTAATATATTTGACATTATTGTATCGATTTGTAATAATTAATAATCATAACTTTATTTAATATGTGTATGCTTAAATTATTTTAATTGTAATAACTATGTCTACTATTGTCACAGTATTCACAAGTTCAATTGCGAATTAAAATAGGAGTGTATAATTTTTGAATATAACATATTTTTGTAATTTTAAAAATTAAAACCTATCTATTTTAAACTTTTCAGGTGTTGTGATCCTGCTTTTTCCGAACCATTTCCGCACAGCAGCATATTGTCTTATTTACAGCAGCATCACATCAACTCTCATAATAGTTGTAGTTAGTATTAGGTGTAGTTTTAGTTTTAGCTGTAGTTTAAAAAAAATAGTTGTTTTAGTTTTATGTGTAGTTAAAAAAAAAATAAATAGTAGTTTAGTTTTAGCTGTAGTTAAAAAAAACAAAAATAACCCCCAAAAAAGTAGAAAAATAAAACCCAAAAAAAGTAGTTTTAGTTGTAGTTTTAATTTTTTAAAAAAAATAGTAGTGTAGTTTTAGCTGTAGTTAAAAAAAAAAAACCCAAAAAAAGTAGTTTTAGTGGTAGTAGTAGTTGTAGTTGTAGTTGTATTTAACAAAAAAAAAGTAGTTTTAAGTATAGTTGTAGTTGTAGTTTTAGTTATAATTTTAGTTGTCGAAGAGGGTAAACTCAGACAGCTTAAAGTGCCGACGAATTGTTGTTAATTCCGACACGAAATAGTCGAAGAGTGTAAACTCAGACAGTAAAGAGTGCCGACGAATTGTTGTTAATTCCGACACAAAATAGTCGAAGAGTGTAAACTCAGACAGCAAAAAGTGCCGACGAATTGTTGTTAATTCTGACACGAAATAGTCGAAGAGTGTAAACTCAGACAGCAAAAAGTGCCGAAGAATTGTTGTTAATTCCGACACGAAATAGTCGAAGAGTGTAAACTCAGACAACAAAAAGTCGAAGAGGTCTTACTCAAGCAGATAAAAGTGTGAACGAATTTGTAATTCAGACACAGAAAACAATTATTTATAAGCTTAAAAATGAGTTTAAACAAAAAATTGGATGAGGTAGCTCATTATATTAAAAATCAATATCCAAATTTAAATTTTGGAAATGTCTCAGTTTCTGACAGTTGTGTAACTAATATTTGCAATAACATCTTTAATAAAGAAAATGATAAAGCTTTAAAAAAATCAATTGCAAATGCTATCAATAGAAACAATTCATCTCTTCGTAAACGTATTATAAGTATGAACAATACTGATTTATGTAATGTGTCAGAAATGAATAGTACATTAATGAAATGTATTGAAAATTGTAACTATACGTCTAGTGATTTCTTAAATTACAATATCACAATTCTAAATGCCATATGTAAACACATTAAAGTAGCTGCAAATCATGTTAACCGTACTAAATTGTATAGGAAATGTAAAAAACACTTTGACTTGTCTTTGTGTAATCCATCGGATGACACAAACAATATGAATTCAAATACTGCTTATATTGATGAAAATTCTGGTATTGAAAATTGCACTTCATATTCAGATCACACAGAGCCTGAACTAGTGCATAAAGACCACGTTTCACTTGAATACACAAGTGTATCGCCCCAAAGTGATTGCAGTTGGATGATAGGAAATCCACTCATACCTTGTAGTACTCCAATTCTACCAGAAAGCATAAAGGTTGAATCTGATTTTGTTACACCAAGTAAATTGGAATGCAGAAAAAATGCTGGACCTGTGCCAAGTCCCCTTAAAAATGCCTATTTTAAGAAAACTCCGGTCAAGTCTGGTGTTGTGCTGCCTCTGAAAACAATAAATTGTTTTCCAAAACAATACGATAGCTCTGAATGTGATTTTTTTGAAGGAACTTTTACATTTTCACGTGTAGAGTGGTCTCATATGTTATACACACATATTAACGGTGAAAAACGTTTGGAAAAGACTAAATATCCTATTATGTTCAGAAAGCTCATAAGAACTGTGAATAATACATGCGTTGTTAATGCAAAAAGGGTTAGATATTTTGAAAATCATTGCAATGTGTACATGTATTGTACCCATGAGGGGTGTAAGCTTTTTAGAATTAAAGTCCAGCTTCGAAACCAAGAGTTTCTGGCTGAAGTGTATAGTTCTGGTTTAAATTACCATCACAATCCAGAGGACAATGGTCTCACGAACCACGTAAAAGGGATTCAGAGAGACTTACACAAAGATGCTCTAAAAAAGACTAAAGCGTTTTCCTTCAGGTCGGACGCTATTGACATGGCATCACCCACTCAGTTGAGTTGTGGTAATTTGCAAGGCATTAAATCAGATGATGTCGTCAGAAAAATCAGATCAGAGGCCATAAGTGCCGATGATTATGATAAAGATGATTTTCATGACCTTGTATTGATGTGTAATGACAAAGAAAACAACTTTGTAAAGCATGTCGGCATACCGTCCGTTCACTGTTATAGTAACGAGCAGTTGGAAATACTAAAAAATCTGATTAAAAAACAAAAACCAGTAACTGGGTAT